ACTAAGCTTTCAGTATTTAAGTCGATCTTCATTTCTATGCTTTTCTATAGTTATTAGTCATGGGCCATGATCGACTCCGGGTAGAAGCTGCTGAAATTAACTTTCTGAGACGAATCGCTGGGCCCACCTGAGTCGACAGACTCCGCAGTTTAGGTACGGGAGAGAGGGGTTACATACAGTTACAACTTCGCTTGATTGAGAAGTCACGGCTGCGGGGTTTCGGGTACATCTTGGAAATTCTTCCAGAGAGAAAGACGTGACTCCCACTACTTGCTCAATTGCCCAGTCAAAGGACCGAGGGGACGACCAAAACTGACCTGTGGTAATTGTCTCGAGAGATTCAGGTAATCTTCCGCCGAAGCTGAGACGCTGGCACAGGATCGGGAACTTTGGAAACGTTGTGTAATGTTTCCGCCTGAATGAGTCTAAAGGATAAGCGATCAACGAAACTGACTGACTGTTTGATTGTATCTCTGGGTCTCTCGTTGTCTACTGAGTAGAGCTCCTGTTGAATCGAAGTTCAGAATTCATGCTACTCAACAGATTCGAAAGTTACGCATTAAAAATCCGTTCTCTGCATAAATGATCTGAGGGTGTGAGTTAAATGTTAGGGCGGTTCAACAGAGCCGTGTAAACTGGCCAAGGTATATGCATGAAACGTTCAGTACATTCGAACGCATTATTTGGTATTGTTGAAACGCTACTTGTATTGCCACTTTTTTACTGGTTTCATGTTTGCTCGTTACATTCATAAGAATCTTAGCATTATTTAATTCTTCTTTCCGATCTTTGATCAAACAGACGAAACAGAGCGAAGCTTAAATGGCTGCAGGCCTTAAATAACGATGACATAGCAATAACAAGATTTAGCGTCGGACGAACAGGTGGAATTGCTTGTGTGCTACTTTTTGTCAATTTCATGTCTCAGTGACATTGTTCAGTATATTTTCATTGCCGTCGACATATATTACTGTCGTTAGTCGTCTAGAGGAATGAAACTAACGAGCTCACTAGTAGCTTTAGCTGATCAGCGACAAAAACTCACTTGATTTCCAGTCATGAAACCATTCGAGATTCTTAAAGATATTTCAATTTGTTTTTGGTATCTTGTTCTGTTTTGATTAGAATCACAAAATACATGACATAGAGGTGAACTATCTCAAAACTGATTAAAGACTATATAAATGTAATTTGTTCGTTTTGCTTCGTTTGCTCCACACACCGTTCTCTGAATCACGGAATGCAACCACCTACCAAGGGAGAGGTCTCGAACCAGATGATTCAGAAACATTGAGTATCTAGATTTTTTGTGCCTTGCAATTTAACCCTCAGGACTTGTCTGTTAGCCAAAGAAGAGCAAAAAGAGGACGCGAGTTTCAAGATGGATGGATGGATAGACCATCCTTTCGATATCTCTTTCTAGCACATTTTAAAACATTCTGTCATTTTCAAAC